CTGCCTGGTTCCCTGTAACCTCACTTCTCACAGTGAGGAGACTGCCAGAAGGCCCTCGGCGCTGGACCTCAGTGTCCGGGCTGAACGATGGGGCTGGAGACGCTTCTTCAGGTATACTGGACCAAGGCCGGTTAGGGCTTTCAAGGTCAGCACCAACAATTGACTTGTGCCCGGAAATGTACTGGGAGCCAGTGTAGGAGACTGAGAGGAGAAAGGCTAGCCATCTTCAACTATCTCAAGGGCTGTCACCTGGAAGAGGGAGCAAGCTTGTTTTCTCCTGCTCCGGTGGGTAGGACACAAACCAACGGATTCAAGTTCCAAGGAAGGAGATTCCGACTAAACCCCAAGAAGAAATTTCTGACAGAGCTGTTAGACAGTGGAACGGATTCCGTCGGGAAATGATGTACTCTCCTTCCTTGGAGGTCTTTAAGCAGAGGTTGGATATCAGAAAGTTCTTGCCGATGTGCTTGCTGAAAAGCAGGATGAAAAGTTGCAGCTGAACCATTGAATTCTCCTGCAAGTATCATTTTGGTGAAGGGAGGAGAAGGCTGTACACTCCTGCTTTCTGGCTCCTGTGCTGTGGTTCAGCTGCGCTTAAGGGGATGCTGTTAGCGATGGGCCATGGTAGCAATTATTGTGTGAAGCTGTCTGCGTGTGCGTAAGGGAGACGAACGATGATGAAGCCTGTTTTAGTTCTATGTAACTAAAGACTTGAAAGGTCTCTGGAGCCCCATCAGAGGCACTTTGAAATGAACAAACCAGGAGAAGGAGTGCTGAGCTTTCGCGGCAAACCGGCGCTCATTTTCCTTCCCCTCTTGCTTCTGCTGTGTTGAAAGCTAACCAAAATAATATTGACCATTGCCTTTGAAATTGTAGGAACATGGGAAGCTGGTCAGTATTGTCAACACTGGCTGGCAGCTGCTCTCCAGGATTTTAGGCAGGGGTCTTTTTTCCAGCCCTACCTGGGGATGCTGAGGGTTGAGTCTGGGGTTCTTCGCATGCAGGCCTGATACTCTGCCCCTGAGCTAAGGCTGCCTCTGAAAACAGAATAAGACTCTAGTCCTCAATATAGGGCCAACTTTGAAAGGAAGTTTCCTTGCACCAGTTCAGACCATGTATTGCTTTATTTGTTTATAAGAAATATTTATAGACCGCTATTCATAAAAGATATCTAAATTCCCTGGCAGGTTTTGATTGACCCCTGCATGACAGTAGGAAATTTTTACAAAACCAAGACAATCTGAGACAATTTAGGAGAGACAATGGAAAGTGTTCAGTTGATAATATAACCCAGGAAACATGTTGAGGTGATCAGAAGTCATAATAGAATCTGATTTTTTTTTTATTTTTATTTTTTGATATTTTTTTTTTGTAATTTGTATTGATCTTGGATTGTTTCTGTTGATTTTTTTTGCAAAATTAATAAAGCATTTAAAAAACATAAAAGATGTCAGAGCGGTTTACAAATGTGCAATAAAACCATATTAAAATGTTTATTTAGTTACCGGTATTTCATAAAAAAATTACACCACTTGGATGTTAAGAAAACCATAAACCACACTCACGAAGCAGTTTCGAAAGAAAACTTTACAAAGTAAAAATGAGAACGCAGCTAACTATTGTGTGTGACAACTGCTAGCAGTCTTTTGCAGCAAGGTTGTAGAAAGAGGGGTGTGTCTATGTGCAAAGGTAAATGCTCCACCCACTTTTGCCTCTGGCCTCACCCCCATGGGCATGTGTCCCCCATAAGATAGCCCAGGAAGGAATAAAACCCCCACGTGGAAAAAGGCTCCCCACTCCCAGTGGCGTAGCATGGGGGAGCCAGAGGGGCTGTTGCCCTGGGCACAAAATTGTTAGGGGCGCAGAATTTCAACACCCGGTGCTGCCTCAATATAGCTTCATGCTTCCATCGCTGGGCTCCATTGAAAACGGCTTCTCCATGCAAACCAGGAAGTGATCTCTCTAGACAATGGAACGAGTCTTCTTTTATGATCTCTGCGGCTGAGATCTCCCGTATGACGTGGACACCATGAGGCAATTGAATACGCATGTCCATTTCCCTCCCTCCCACACCCGCTCTGGGCACTGGCAACCCATGCTATGCTACTGCCTGCTCCTGATTTATAGGGCCTTGTGAAAAGCAGAGAAGACTTGAAGCCTATTCCGTTGTTGATTTATCAATGCATGAGCTCAGCAGGGTGCAGGGACCAGACAGACTCCCAGATTAATTCATCTTAAAGCAAATATGCTTTTGGAACCCCGTCAAGGCTGCTCATCACAAGCTATTTGTAAAAACTCGACGGCTGCCTCTTCCTTTGCCGGCTTTTCATCAAACAACCAGCAGCTCTTGAGGCTCAGTCTTCTAGCCACCAGCATCGAGCAAAGGAGCATCTTTCATTGCAAAAGCCTGGAGCAAGGGCCTTTTGTCTGCTGTGTTGCAACATGACACCCTTCCTCTCTGCCGATTTCCTTGGAAAGGAGTGCTGGGGCATCCATCACAGACTGTAGCATTCACGTACAGTCTCCCTTCCACCACCGTCCCCGCCAATGCACGGAGATAAACACATGAAAGTATGTTTTTCCCCATTGTAGATTTCTTAGGGAGAGGCTGGGGAAACAGCTGCCAATTTGGGAGGTGCATTCCCTGAGAAGCAGGCTGATGCAGCAGCCTAATCCAAGTCATCTTCCCACTTCTCGGTACCGCAAAAGGACGTCCTGTTGATGCATTGCAATGTTTTTTGTTTTTCCTTTTAATGCTTCCTAATCCTTAGTTTGTGACATCTTGAGCAAAGAACAGATTGTCCAGAATGTTGGATTGAAAAAGAAGAAGAGAAAAGAAAAACTTCAGAAACCTCAAAAGTCTTGGTTGGGGAAAGGAAACGAGTGTCGTTTGTGGCTCAGTCAGCACCCAACTCTCTAAAGTGCGGCCCTCCAGACCTCTCTACCTGGCCCTCAGAACCTTCCCCAGACCACACCCCTCTTCTTTGGCCACACCTCTCAAGAATCTGCTTTGTACCCCGAGTGATTTTGCCTGGCTGGACTTACTTCCTTGAATTTTGTAGGTTCATCTTTCATTACATGCGGTATAGAATCTCTCCAGCATCGCTGTTGTTAACTGGAGTGGAGGAGAAGATGACTCTTGAGCTCAGCCCTCCTTCAGCGAAGAACACATACTTCCGTCTCGCCTAGAAATATATTTGCTCAGCTCTGGGTATTTTTCTTCTGCTGCTGACATGCCTGGGAGGCATGAATTCCAGTTGACCCCAGGTAACCAATCCCAGGTCACCGCTGCCTGCCAACGCTGCTCCGTGATGGGTCCATTAAGCCCAGGCTCGTCGCCAGCAAAAATGTCAAACAGAGTCCTGGTGATGTTTCACTAGAGAGGTTGGCAGGATCTTGGAAAGAGAGCGGCTAGCCCCAGTCAAAACCCATCTGTCTCCCATTGGAACTGGATGGTCTGTTGCATGACCTCAGAGTCACTTTCACCATGAAACCTCTGATAGATTTGGAAGATAATTCGAGGGAGGCTAACCTTGCTGCCGCCACCAAGATCTGAGGAGGAAACAGGCATTTCCCTGCCTTTTCCTAACATGTCTAAAATGTTTAGATGATGTGAGCACAGACGTGACTTTGTAGAGTACCCTTGGCAAAGTTGCCACCTTGTTTTACCTAACTCGCTCCCAAGCTTTTTGAGTCAGGGTGGTACAGTGGCTAGAGTGTCGGACTAGGACATGGGAGACCAGGGTTCAAATAATAGTAATAATAATAATAATAATAATAATAATAATAATAATAAATTTATTTATACCCTGCCCATCTGGCTGTTTCCCCAGCCACTCTAGGCGGCTCCCAATCAAGTGTTAAAAGCAATACAGCATTAAATACTAAAAACTTCCCTAAACAGGGCTGCCTTCAGATGTCTTTTAAAGATAGGATAGCTGCTTATTTCCTTCACATCTGAAGGGAGGGTGTTCCACAGGATGGGCGCCACTACCGAGAAGGCCCTCTGTCTGGTTCCCTGAAACCTCACTTCTCGCAATGAGGGAACCGCCAGAAGGCCCTCGGCGCTGGATCTCAGTGTCCGGGCTGAACGATGGGGGTAGAGATGCTCCTTCAGGTATACAGGACCGAGGCTGTTTAGGGCTTTAATCCGTGTTGGGCCATGAATGAAACTCACTGGGTGGCCTTGGGCCAGTCATGGCCTCTCCGCCTAACCTACCTCACAGGGTTGTTGTAGAGATTAAATGAGGAGAATCGCGGAAACCACCTTGAGCTCTTTGGAGAAAAAAGTATGAGACATAAATGCACGAACCAAACACCAACCAAACACCCAAGCAATTAAGCAGGAAGACATCCCCCCCCCCAAAAAAAATCACTTTATCTCCATACTGGGGAAAGTGGCGTCTGCAAAATGACTGCGGTCTTAAAAGGTGAAGGAGCAGGACAAGTGAAAGCGGGGGTGGGGAGTTGGTAACCGTGTCGCCAGGTGTACAGCTGGCACACAAGGCAGGGATTGGGCTGGCGCCAGGCTGAGCAAGGGGGATATTTATTTTTGTAGTCTTCAAAGGATATGCTGCCTGTTCCACAATCGCAGAAAGTACACAAGAAAATCAAGACACGGTAGCAATAACCACAAACAGCTAAAACCTGGTGAAAGGCAATGTGATAAATTTATCAAGAGAAGCTTTCATGTTATTTAATTTTTTTCCACATTTGCATTTTGAGCGCTGCAGAGTTTAGGCAGCCCTGTTTAGGGAAGCTTTTAATATTTGATGAATCATTGTATTTTAATATTCTGCTGGAAGCCGCCCAGAGTGGCTGGGGAAACCCAGCCAGATGGGTAGGATATAAATAAATTATTATTATTATTATTATTATTATTATTATTATTATTATGGCTGTACACCGAAGGACCTTCTGATGTGCATCTCCAGGAGCCACATATCCAAACAGGTAGGGCTGCAATGCTGAATCAATTACTCTGCAGCAGCCAATGGGATGCCCTCCAGACATGGTTGGATACAACTCACAACCTGACTACTAACTATGGCAACTGGGACTGATAGGATTGGGAGTCCAATATTGACTGGAGGGCACCAGGTCGCTAACCCAGACTAATCAGTCAGATGAATGGCTTTTGAACACTTTTTACCATCTCAAAACATTCACTTAATAATGCACATCGGATTTTTTGAAAAAGTTATGATATAAGAACATATTAAAACTGGAGAGGGAAAAGCGCCATCATTTTTCGGCCCTGGACATGGGCTACTTCAGATATTGGTGTCTGATAATGGGCCACATTAATCTAAAAACTGGCTCAGATGTTGGTGGTGATGACAAAAAGGAGGGAAGTCAAAGTAGACTCAGCATTGAGGTGGGCAGAGAGATCTGTGCGTGTGCCATGGTGTATGGGGTGGGTAGTGACACCCACTTTTGCCACGTGGCCCCTAGAGCATGGGTCGGCAAACTAAGGTCCGTGGATCAGATCAGGCCCAACTGCCTTCTGGATGCAGCCTGCGGACGGTCTGGGAATCTCCACGTGGATCGCCAGTGTGCGCGGTTCTTGTTGAGATTTCCATTCCACCTCAAGGAGCAGATGTGTGGAACTGTTGCGTGCCGCATGTCTGTTTACATTCCAGCACAGCTTGCTGGGAACTTCCGTTGTGTATAGCTTTTCCTTTTCCTGTTCTCTCTGAGAAAACGAGAGAGAGAGAGAGAGAGAGAGAGAGAGAGACGCTATGTTTCTTTGTCCTGATTTATGATTAATAAATCTGTAGTTGTAGTATGCTTCCAGAAGCCTCATGCCTATTCTGTGTGCACAGTTTGTGCTGTTGATAGTGTGCCCTGGCTCTGAAGCCCGGGTCACTGATTTATGTCGGAGCAGAGGTCGATGGAAGGAGTCAGCCAAGCTGGGGCTTGCCAGCTGGCCTCCCAGCCCTCTGCATGTCAACAGTTCTTTCCCTCTCCCTCCCTTGGTGGCGGTGGCAGCGCCTCCTCCCTCCCTCCTCCTGGTTTCTCCCCGCCCTGCCTAGAGGAGGAAGGGGGCTGGGCTTTGTTGGTGTCAGCAGCAGCAGCACTTGAGCGGCCGCCATTTTAAGCAGCCCCTCTCTGGAGCCCTTTTGCATGTTGCTCATCGTCCCTCCGCCGCCGCCAGTCCCTGCCGCTCACAAGACACAGATAAGCAGCGACCGGGGCTCGTGGTGCTCTTGCATCTCCCCTCCCCCTCCAAATAGTCTGGCCCCCCACAAGGTCTGAGGGACAGTGGACCGGCCCCCTGCTGAAAAAGTTTGCTGGCCCCTGCTCTAGAGGGTTAGCCAAGGGTGATTCTGACCTTCAGGACAAAAAAAAAAAAAGGTTAGTCAACCTCGCGCTACAGTCTTACAAACTGCCACTGTCTAGGGATGGGTGAATCTGGGCTTCTCTCTGCTTCTAATTTTTCCAGCTTTAAATTCAATTCGCCACAATTCTCCACCAGCTTGATAATTCTTTCTAAAGCCCCTGTGGAAACTGCCCAGCGTTTCCGTGCAAATTTCTGCGGACATGCGCATCTTTACGAAACGACTATCCCTTTCTCGTGTCCCTCGACTTCTAGACCTTGCTGCTGAGCCTGTACTGATATTAAGCCCAAACAGAGATCTCTGTTAGAATTCCTGCTCCGTGATTGCAGTCATGGGATTGTTATCTATCGCATGACGGTATATGTTTTGACCCCACAGAGTGGGAAGTGACGGAGACAGGATGTTTGTGTTACTGTGTTCCGTGAAGTGGGACTAATGTCCTTTGTCCTTTTTCTTTTTGCTGTCTGATGCTAGAGAGAGAGGGAGCCATGTTGCAGTGCTCCGTCTGTGTTTATATGTAAATAAAGTAGATTAGCCAAAATGCTGAGTTGCTGAGGTCTGTCATGAAAAGCTGCGAAGACGCTGTGGATCCCTAAGTGTGCCGATGTCTGTTGGCATTAGTCGCTGTAATGTTCCGGCTGAAGAAAGCTTTTGAAGCTCCCGAATGATCAACCAGGAGGAAGAGAACATGCCAGTCTGGCATGTGTCTCTGCCAGGGTCCTACTCGAGTGTAGGCTGAACTCCTGACAATCTCCTCCTAACTTTCAAGTCAGAGTCACTCCTGTGGTTTGGGGGCAGGCTGGTGGCATTAAAAAGAACATAACCTTACTGTGGTTACAGAGGAACTTGAAGCGGGTCCATGGGTGCAGATCAGACAGAATAGCGCCAGGAACACTTTCTGAGTAATGTTGACATGTGTGATCAATGATACTATAATACTGTCGGTGGAAGGAGAAGGAGGATGTATGACTAGCAGATTGTTGTTGATCTTAAGTTGGTGACTAACTGGTGAGGTTAGTCAATTAGCTGGCCAAGGAGCCAGGAGCCTGCTCCACAGAGAGCCCCCCTGCAGTGCTGCAAACGTTATATTTACTGCTGAATAAACAAGGCTGTTTTTCAGAAGCCTGTCTTATTTACAGGGAACGCAGCACACCATCAGCAAAGCTGCAGTCATCTTGTTCATCTGCGAAGCAACTTGCTGCTCTTAGCTCAGTGACTACCAAACTTGGCCCTCCAGCTGTTTTGGGACTACAATTCCCAGCATCCCTGACCACTGGTCCTGTTAGTTAGGGATGGTGGGAGTTGTAGTCCCAAAACAGCTGGAGGGCCAAGTTTGGCCATCACTGTCTTAGCTCAACACCTCTCTGCAACCTATCTCCTATAATCATCCATCCATCGCTCCCACACAGCAAATCCGGTCCTGGTCTTACGCAGGGGTCTCTAACCTGGTGCCCTTCTGCCTTTGGGGAGGGGGCTGGTGGTGGTCCATGCATAGGATGAAGTGAGCAGCACTGGGGGGCTGTGGATGGGCCTTTTCAGTGGTGGCCCCACATCTGCAGAACAAGAGGTGTCTTCCCGCAAGCATTGTTTTCTTTCAGGAAGCAAGCGAAGACCTTCCTCTTCCAGCAGTCTTCCAGATGAGGATATCAGTGACTGAACTATCAGTGGATCTTTCGACAATGCTGCTTATTGCGATTTGAATTTTAGCTTTTACATTTTATGGAGGTTTTGCTTGTTCATTTAGCCAAATCAATAGCCTGCTTGATTGAAGGAGCAGCCCGAAGCGGTTTACAAAAATATAAAACAAAACTTGAAAGTTCCCGATCAAAAGAAAAACCAGTTAAAAACAAGTATGCAAAAACATTCAAGAGACTAGTTATAGTTTAAAAAGTAGCTTAAAACATAGGTAATCTCTGCATAGGCATCAGGTTTAGTAATGACTGGGCTACAGTAAGAAGCATCAGTACCTTCCATCTTCTTCTAATAATAATAATAATAATAAGAACAACAACAATAATTTATTATTTATACCCCGCCCATCTGGCTGGGTTTCCCCAGCCACTCTGGGTGGCTCCCAATAGAATTAATGAGAATAAGAATAAAAAAGCAATAAAACATCAGACATTAAAAACTTCCCTAATAAAAAAACTAGAGGGGATGCTAAACTGTGGCCTTCAAGAACTTGCTGGACTACAACTCCCATCAGCCTCCAGCCAGCATGGCTGCTAATCTGGGGTGGTGGGAGTTGTAGTTCAGTGACACCCGGAGGGACACAGGTTTCGTGCCTCTGATATAAAATACCCATTAAATGGTGCCAGAGCCAGGCTCTGCAATTGAGGCTTACAGATCCATTTGTCCTGGGTCTGCAGTGGGTGGCAGGCAGCAACCCTGCTACCTAGCTTAGCAGTGTGGCTAAGGCCAGAGGTGCAAGGACACATATTTTGATGGGGAAGAGCCCGGCTCTCTCAGTCTTCACCCAGAGGTTGTTGTTGTTTAGTCGTTTAGTCGTGTCCGACTCTTCGTGACCCCATGGACCAGAGCATACCAGGCACTCCTGTCTTCCATTGCCTCCCACAGTTTGGTCAGACTCATGCTGGTAGCTTCCAGAACACTGAAGAAGAAGAAGAAGAAGAAGAAGAAGAAGAAGAAGAAGAAGAAGAAGAGGAGGAGGAGGAGGAGGAGGAGGAGGAGGAGTTTGGATTTGATATCCCGCCTTTCACTCCCCTTCAGGAGTCTCAAAGCGGCTAACATTCTCCTTTCCCTTCCTCCCCCACAACAAACACTCTGTGAGGTGAGTGGGGCTGAGAGACTTCAGAGAAGTGTGACTGGCCCAAGGTCACCCAGCAGCTGCATGTGGAGGAGCGGAGACGCAAACCCGGTTCCCCAGATTACGAGACTACCGCTCTTAACCACTACACCACTGACCCACCATCTCATCCTCTATCGTCCCCTTCTGCTTGTGCCCTCCATCTTTCCCAACATCAGGGTCTTTTCCAGGGAGTCTTCTCTTCTCATGAGGTGGCCAAAGTATTGGAGCCTCAGCTTCAGGATCTGTCCTTCCAGTGAGCACTCAGGGCTGATTTCCTTCAGAATGAATAGGTTTGATCTTCTTGCAGTCCATGGGACTTTCAAGAGTCTCCTCCAGCACCATAATTGTACTCCAGTACCATAATTTAAATTCACGCGGAGGTAGCAGAGGGGAAATACCTTCCCCCTGAGTCATTTGCAGTGTCCAGTTTCTGAGTGTTCTTTCGTTGGCAATTCTTAGCTTTTGTTTGCTCTGAAAACTTGGGTGAGTAAGATTGCTGGAGAAAAGGGGGAGGGGGAGAAGAAATTTGGCTGGTTTGAACACCGCAAAACAGTGCCCAGTTAGCTTTCATTTTCCTGGAAAAGGGGAGACAGTAAGCAAACTCAAAAGCCTGTGGTCAACTTCAAGAGCAAAGGATTGTCAGCTGTGCCCCAGCTGACGGAGGGCTTAGGATCCTGGTAGAGATGGCAGGATCTCTCGGTTTCGATTCTTTCGCTTTCTCATTCTCCCAACCTTGATTTCTCCAGCAACTAGAGATTCCCTTTTAAAGCCCTGGCAATAATTCACCAGTGTTTCAACACAGGCTTCTCTGAATGTGCCCATTGTTACGAAGCAACCGCCCCACCACCCTCTTAGATAATGCATTTTGGGAAGTTGTTTCCACTAAACCATGCATTTATATGCACAATTTTCTGCGGCGTGTGCATTTGAATACCCACGACTCTTCTGCAGAACTGCGCTGCAAAAAGTAGGAGAAGTGCAAATTTCAAAGGACAGCTGTGTTTCGATCTGAACGCTGTTTCAAATTTGCAAAGTGCAAATTATATAAATAATCATTTGAGTGCGAACTGGGTTGTTTTCTTTAAAAAAACAACAACAAAAAACCTTCATGAAAATTATTCAGCGTTTCAATATGAATTTCTCCTAATAATTTTATCACAGGATCTGAATCAGTTCATATAGGGAGAGATGGTCTTTGAGGTATTGGGGCCCAGAGCCGCAAAAGGCTTAATGTTAAATCTAACCTTAAATTTTGTTCTCTCCATCTCCCTCACAGTAAAGGTAAAGGGAGCCCTGACCATTAGGTCCAGTCGTGACCGACTCTGGGGTTGCAGTGCTCATCTCGCTTTACTGGCCAAGGGAGCCAGCGTACAGCTTCCGGGTCATGTGGCCAGCATGACTAAGCCGCTTATGTCAAACCAGAGCAGTGCACGGAAATGCCGTTTACCTTTCCGCCGGGGCGGTACCTATTTATCTACTTGCACTTTGACGTGCTTTCAAACTGCTAGGTTGGCAGGAGCAGCGACCGAGCAATGGGAGCTCACCCTGTCCCGGGGATTCGAACCGCCAACCTTCTGATCGGCAAGTCCTAGGCTCTGAGGTTTAACCCACAGTGCCACCCGCGTCCCGTCCTCCCTCTCAGTAGGTGATTTCAAAAAGAAAAGAAAAGAAAATGAAAAACTGCATGAATATTCATGTTCATTTCCCTATGCAATCTTGCCTAATGCCCACAATTATTTGGCAAGAAAGTCCCCCTAAGAAAATGCATGCTTGTGTATTATTTTCAGGAACACGAGAAACTGCCTTATCCTTAGTCAGACCAATGACCTGTCCAGCTCATGTTTGTGTGCACTGACTAGCTAGAGATGTCAGGCATTGAACCTGGGCAGGGTCGTAGTGGGGAGGGGGAGGGGACGATGGCCCTAGGCATATTTTTCTGTAGTGCTGCTCACACTGCCCTGCCAGCCCTGCAAATTATTCAGATCAGATCAGATGCCAGCATTGCAAAGCAAAGCAGCTCAGGGCTGGCATCACTCTGGTGGCATCAACAGCAAGGACCGGGCTGGCACAGTGGGCTCCATTCACCCTCCATGCCCCGTCCCTCTGGCACATGCACGCACCCACCCCGGGCACCAGCAAACCACGCTACGCCACTGAACCTGGGACCTCCTGCATTTCAAACAGGTCCTCCCTGACCCTTCCTCTCATTTTCACGAATGCACACACTTTTTTGTGCACTCCTTATTTGGGGCATGCATTTTTATTTTTTGCTTGGAGAACTGCATAGCAACATTTGGAGAAGTGCAAATATCCAAAAGCTAGTTGGGTTTCAGTCCATACATTGTGGTGCCGATGAGACAGGTTTGCATTTGGATGAGGACCGAACGAATTTCTTCCTCTTGTGACCTGCTGTGCCAGGAGGTGAGCAAGCTAGCTTATGGGGCTCTCAGGGGTATCTGCTGCCCTGCTCTCCCCCATCACCTGCTGTCAGAGCCGGGTGTCAGTCATGCAGCCTTAAGCAACTTAGATTTCTCAAGTGTGGGCTTGCATCCAGCATTCTATGCACGAGACGCTTCACAAGCAGCTTTCGTTTCCCTTCAAGTCTCCCCAGCTCCCAACGGTCTCTTCTGTTTTGAAATTTTAGGCTGGCAAATACACAAGGGGGTGTGTACAAAACAGCTCCAATCCCCGGACTTAGCTAGGATGGGCAAGTCACCTCCTCAACAAATCCTGTTATGCCAAAGGCTCTGTTCTCGACGAGCCTGGGAACTTCTGCGAACACGTTAAGTTTCACTTTCAGGTTCCTGGAACTTGCGTTGGACAACCGCAGCTTACAAGGACAAAACAGCTGCCGGGACAAAGATAGCTGTGGCATTCCCTTTCAAATGGTGCACGGATACCAAGATCTGCAAGAAAAACACTGATCTCCTTTAAATATGAGATCATAGAACTATGCTATGAACTCCAACATTGTTCATCCTCATCCCTTCTTTAATCGTTTGGCAAAAACGCTGCTGCATTTTGAGCACACGTTTCGCTTAAAATGCACATTTTGCTTTGCAATGTTTTTGCAAGCACTTTCCTCTAACTTAATGCAACCTTGTATTTTTTTTTTAATGCACATATGCATTTTTGCACGTGCCTTTGAAAATGATAATTTCCTTTAAATTTGATAAAATATGAACCGAACCAAATTTCTTCCTCATTCCCTCCATCCATCTAATGGAAAAGGACTAGGAAAACTTTGCTCTCCTTTTCTGCACTTTTGGCAGGATCTTATAAGCTCGCATTTAGCTTGCAGGATTTCATCTGGCGGCCTTCAACCGCTTACAGGTGAAATCTTGCCAGTTAAATGCACGTAAGATGCGATCGTGCTGTATCTATTTTGCAAAAGTGGTTTGCCTTTCTGTCCAAGTGTACGCTACAGGTTCAGCCGCCTCTTGAGATCTCGTTGCCAAATTTGGCACGAGGGTCCCTGAGGTGGGTGCGGCAATTTTCATCATTGCTGGGATGCTCAGCAGTGAGTAGGCTTGAAGCTCCAGGTGGGCAATGCACGCAGCTTGTGCATGCAACTTGCATGCATCAACCTAGCAAGAGCTGGCTGCAAATTACATTCATACCTCGAGTTGAATGTGCTTCGGGTTGGGCAGGTTCGAGTTGCGCTCCGCGGCAACCCAGAAGTAATGGAGCGCGTTACTTCCGGGTTTCACCATTTGCGCATGTGCAGATGCTCAAAATGACATCATGCGCATGCGCGGAAGCAGCGAAACGCAACCGCAGAAGCGCTGTTGCATCTTGCGTTCCATTCGGGATGCGAATGGGGCTCCTGAACAGATCCCTGTTTGCATCCCGAGGTACTACTGTATAGCATGCACAACTGGGGGGCAGGAACCTGCCTTCCTCCCCTCTCCCAATTAACCTCCAGGGGCTGCCCCATGACATCATCAGGAGGCATCCCTGGGTCTCAGGTTTGGGCACTGAAATCTCAGGGTCTAGGGTGCTCCTGACCTGACAACCCTAAGCATGTCTACTGTGTCTCCCCCCCCTTTTTTTAACCACTGTTTCTTAAACTGATGCACATTTGGGCAGGCATAAAAATTGGCTGTGTTGGGGGCACATCAAGCCCTCTGGGCATGGGGTTTGCCACCTCTGCTCTGTTGAATCAGGGCCCTACTCAAACATTTAAAACTGCACAATGAAGGAGTGCAACATTTGCTTAAGTTTGGGGCAAAGATGAGAGGGAGCCATCCTTTTGCCCTTCGCTGGAATTCTATTTTGAAACCGTTCTTGCTTAAACCTGCCTGGGTATACAGTGGGCATGGGCTTTGGGGCGTGCCCCAAACAGCGGGAGTTGAAGGCAACTCCCTGGCCCTCTGTGCCCACATCTCTGCGTGGTTATAAATAACCCCACGATTTCTGTGAAAAGGAAATGTTTGTTTTTCTTTTTGCTCTCTGGCAGAAGGCCACACAGAGACACACACCCTTCTGGCTCACGGCCAACTTCCCTTAGATATCCTTGAGATCCAATTCAGGGATTGGCGTTGGGCAAAAAGGCAAGATTGTGCCTGGCATTCTGGGTAGGAAAGAAAGAGGAAAAGAACCAGGGAGCTAAAAAAAGCTAAAGGAAGAAAGAAGATAAGCCAGAAACAAGATAAGCTGAAGATATCAAACTGGGGTGAGGCATGGATGAGAGATTCAAGACAGTTTGCAAAGGCAAAAATACCTGATCTGCACCTTCTGAAACAACCTGCGAGCCAAAATGCACCCACACTCTGGCATTTCAGCTTCTCTGAATTTTGCAGTGATGCTCCTCAGCCAAGCACTGCGTGCAAAAATGCACCACGCACTGGGGTAAATTGTGCATAAAAATGCATATTTTGATGCAATGCAATTTGCAAAGCTGTGTTATATGGAGGAAAATATGCTTTACAGAAAGGTGCCCATTAGGCAAAAATGCACACACAAATGTGTGCACATTTGGGGAAATTTGCAGCAAAATGCAGGTGAATTTTCATAGGGATTAAAAGTATATATATCTATATATCGAACAGATGTGAAAATGTGGAGAACTGAAGAGTGGGGGGGAAATAAGAAATCAGGAAAAACAGATTTGCCCATCCCTATGGCTAAAAGCAAAGGGGGAGCAGATTCCAACCCAATTCACTTTCTCTTGCACCCAGTTGTAGGTCAGTTCCATCCCATCCCATGCAGATTTTCCAAATGAATGCACAGAATGTTGCATTTAAGTCATATGCCTGATTACAAGCATTTTATTGCGTTTGTGTATTTCTTTAAATAGAGATTCCCCCCCAAAAAAAAATCTTTTATATTGTACTCTATGTGCAATATAAAAAATGATATCCAGTAAAACAAATTTGTTGTTGTTGAGTTGTTTAGTTGTGTTCGACTCTTTGTGACCCCATGGACCAGAGCATGCCTGGCACTCCTGTCTTCCACTGCCTCCTGCAGTTTGGTCAAACTAATGTTTGTAGCTTCGTGAACACTGTCCAACCATCTCGTCCTCTGTCGTCCCCTTCTCCTTGTGCCCTCCATCTTTCCCAACATCAGGGTCTTTTCCAGGAAGTCTTCTCTTCTCATGAGGTGGCCAAAGTATTGGAGCCTCAGCTTCAGGATCTGTCCTTCCAGTGAGCACTCAGGGCTGATTTCCTTCAGAATGGAGAGGTTTGATCTTCTTGCAGTCCATGGGACTCTCAAGAGTCTCCTCCAGCACCATAATTCAAAAGCATCAATTATTCAGGGATCAGCCTTCTTTATGGTCCAGCTCTCACTTCCATACATCACTACTGGGAAAACCATGGCTTTAACTATACGGACCTAAAATCAACAAAACAGCATTATAAAAGCTTATATAAGCAAAACAACATCAGAGATTGGGAGATTCTCTAAGACATTAAATCAGGTTCCAATCTTAAGGGCCAGGAAAAGCCTGGGCAAAAAGATAAGACTTTACAAGACATTTGAACTCTGAAGCAACTGATTGGATTACTGCTTGATGTATTGCAGAGAGCAGGGTCTTCCACAATGCTGGGTAAGAATAGAAAATGCCTAATGCTCCAAGTTCCCCCAAATAGGCATTTTCAATGCGTTTCAATGCCTTGCCATTGAGCATACAGTTTGCATAAGCACTTAAGCAATCAAAATAAAATTCATGCCCCGAAAGCCTTTGGCACAAAGTCCAGGCCTAACCCTGTAGTTTCTTTCCATTTCTCTTGGCAAGTTCTGGACGACTGACCTGAGTCAGTCCACTGTGAAAAGCAGACCCAATGAATTTCTCCTCTTTTCCTGCTGAGAACAACCTGTCTTTCTCCTTCTGTTTATAGAGAAGTTTTGGAATAGCTTGACTTCGCTTCCACAGAATAGTTTAATACGCAGACAGAACGTCGGAGGAATCCCAGCCAAGTGATACTAAACACATCTTTCCTGAGGCTAAGCAGATTTGGGATCTGGTCAGTGTCTGCATAAGAGGCCGCCTAAGCAATCCAGACCAAGTTGTTGCCTTGGAATTCCATGGAAATGGCAGGAGGGCAAGATGTGATTGCAATATCATAAATAAGGCGAGCTGCCAGTCAGCCATCATCACCTTGATTTGACTAGCCCAGGGTTTTGCAGCTTATCAAGCTGTCATCAAGCCCAACCCAAATTCTTAGGAACTGAGATGAAACAAAACTTAATTGGTTAAATTGTTTAAGTCATGGTTTAAAAAGTGAAACTCTGCACCTGAGAATCCTAATGAATAGTGGTACCTTGGTTCTGGAATGGCTTGGCTTCCAAACAAATCGGTTCCCGAATGCCGCAAACCCGAAGTGTTCCGGTTTGCGGACGTTTTTTGGAAGCCGGACATCCGTTTCGGCTATCGCCATTGCTTCCGGGGCCAATCAGCCAATTGGAAGCCGAGCCTTGGTTTGCGAATGTTTTGGAAGTCAAATGGACTTCCAGAACAGATTGAGTTTGGGAACCAAGGTACCACCGTATTGTGGAATCATCTTATTAAATGCAGAGGTTCCTCACTGGCAATGGAGGTGCCCTCTGCCCATGCCTTGATTTCTAAAATCCGTAGTGCAGTTTTTCGCTCCATAAGAATCTTTCCCACCCCTTTTGGTCCCCCTTTTGACCTCCACCCTAGACCTTTATTCACTCTCAGCACAGTCCCATCGGCCCAGGGGGTCATAAAAACACAAGAAAATCACTGCAGGGTCAGGCCGATAACCGGTCTGGTGGGGCATCGTGTTCTCGCAGTGGCCAGACTTAATGCTCCAATGAGAAACTAGCCAGCAGGACCTGAGCACAAGAGCCCTCTTGCCTCTTGTGGTCTCCAGCAACTGTGGAAAGCTGGCTTCAGGCATCAGTCCAACTCTGCACTGCAAAGATGCCTGCAATATCAACACTGCCACGTGGGAATCTCTTGCAGACAACCACACTGCTGGGAGACAGACAGTCAGGTTGTGCATCCATAGCAGTGACAAGAGAAGGAATGACAGCTGAGAGGAGTACAGAGAGAAGACACTCCGTGGTGCATCTGCAGCAGCATTCATTCCAACATTTCTCCGATGAAAATAAGCGGTGAAAGATGGAGGGCACAAGGAGAAGGGGACGACAGAGGACGAGATGGTTGGACAGTGTTCTCAAAGCTACCAGCATGAGTTTGACCAAACTGCGGGAGGCAGTGGAAGACAGGAGTGCCTGGCGTGCTCTGGTCCAGGGGGTCACAAAGAGTCGGACACAACTAAATGACTAAACAACAACAAACGGTCAGGGGTGCCTTTTTATCTAGCTGCTATACTCAGGGTAGACTGACTGAAATGGATGGACCTGAGTAACTGAAGTCCACCGACTTCTGTGGCTACACTCTGCAAGTTGCGTGTATTCCAAGTTGCCATTCTTCTTTGGATGGGACCTCGCTCATTTTCCATTTCAGATGCTCCCAGCTCTTGACCTGTTGGTACAATTCTCTATTTCTCAAAATCAGTTCAACAACAACAACAACAACAACAACAACCCTCCTAACACAAAAATCCATTACAGTTACTACCACCCTGAAAACTTCATTCATTTCAGCAACGTAATGGGGGAATTGCTGTTACACAATTTTATACAGTTTTGTCAGTGATAAATCCTGGCTGATCTTCTTCCTGAGGCTGGATCCCAATCTGCCCACCCCCCTGCCCTGTGCTAACTATCCCAAATGATATTTCAATTTCTCCAAGTTTCTTTGCAGCATCAGCATAGAAGGCTCTTCTATTGGACGCCGGGGAGGAGGAAGACGCAAGCATTCTTGATTGGAACAAGATGTTAAAGGCTAAACAAACCGTTTCGCAATAATGTTCCCCTTTCAGTTACACACTCCATCTGGCTCAAGTTACAAAAATATCACTGGGAGAGGGGAACCTGTTTGCATTCGTCACACCGACATCGCAAGAGGCATGATTTGCCAGAGTCGTTCAAGAGGGGCAGCGCCGTGTAGTGGTTAGAGCGCTAGACTAGGACCTGGGAGACCGAGCTTCAGCCATGAAGCTCACTTGGGTGATCCTGGGCCAGCCACTCACTCTCAGCTTAGGCTGTCTCGCAGGGTTTTTCTGAGGGTAAAATTGGGTGGGGTGGAGCACTATGCATGCCACCTGGAGCTTTCCTTGGAGGAAAGGTGGAACATAAATGCAGGCTCACATCCCTCAGAGGCGGACACGGAGTTGGCGTTATTTACGATGTGCTGAAAGGGGCATTGTTGCTTTCGTACGAGGCTCAACGGCTCAGGGACTTCTCCATTTCCCATGCCACAGAAATGAAAACATTGGCACAAGGCTGATGAAGTTGGCCGAGGGCCTTATCCAGAGCTGTTCGATGGGCAGGCAGTGATTCAAGCGCATTGCAAAAGCATTTCCTGACCCCTTTTTCTTGGCTTTTCCTGTGGGTCAGCTGCAGGGCACACGCGTTGCATAACAGGGGTGCCTTCCTGCCTTATGAAACGGCAGTACCTCGTATCCCTTTAACACCTGAAGGGTTGCAAAGCCTCTGCGAAGCTTACCGCGGCCTCAGCATTCAGCAGCAGCCATGTGAAGGGACAGCGAACTCCGTACGGGTGGAGAAGCGTTTTTGACTCAAGGGGTGCATTCCCTTATAAGCAGCCTTTTGGAAGTGCAACAGCAGGGATCATTCAGTTTGCAGCCTAAGGGTTAATTCTGCTATAACCAGGCAATGGGGAAACAGAAGCAGGAGAGTGGAATGAGGGAGGCCAAGAAGCATGAGATGAGTCTGGCTGGTGAAGATTCACGGGTGTCTCCCTCTACTGCTGCGACAAGCTCCCTTCCCTCCTGGTCTCCCAGAACCAGAAGAGGCATAAAAAGGGCGGAGGATAAGTTGGCTGCATGCAGGCATAGTCTCCTATTGCCTGGGAAAAGCCCTGGAGAAGAGGGGACTTAAATAGCTGTGAGGAGGCGGGGACCTTCAATCTCAGCAACTGATTTCAAGAAGAAAGACCCACCAGATCTGTGAAGATCGTGCTTTTGCTAACCAAGTGTTAACTCCAACTTCGAGAAGTGAGATTTACTGCTGGCTCGCTCTTTGACGCCAGAGCTGGACCCATAACAGCTAGCCAAAAACTCTCAAAGAGAGCAGGAAGCAAGGACAGGGAGGGCTGTGGCCTGGTGACAGTTCCAAGGGCCAGATATATAAGCCTAAGGGGCCACATTCAGCTCCTGGGGGCTGAAGTTCCCCACCCCTAAAACAGCCCTTGGGCCTAATCCAGAGCAGCAAATCTTGTTCTGGGGTACTGTCTAGGGGCTTTGGTTGGGAGAGGAGGTTGTTGTTCTTGCTGCTGTTAGCTTTTTGTATCTTCGTTTTGGATCTTATGATTCATGTGGACATTGTTCAATTTGGTTGTGATTTTTTTGGATGTTTTGTCTATGACTACTTTTATTATGTTTGTAGTTATGTATTTTTTTCTGTCGCAAGCCGCTCTGAGCATGGTTTTAAAAATGCTCCCAGGCAACTTCCTTGGAAGAGCTTAAAGAGATTGTCTCTACCCATTAAACAGTTCAGTAACTTTGGACAGCCATTAAATGTTCTGAAGAAAGAACACGGATATAAAACAGGGGCTGGGCTATGTGCCCTTCCTGCCCGTGGCTCATGTCAGCGCATGCTGATCTCTCCAGCTCTGAAACCATTTATTAGACTCCACCATTCCTGTAAGGCCCCATCTTGAATTCCCAGAGGATTCTGGGAACTCTAGGAACTGACAGACCTCAGCACCCTTAACAAACTACACTTCCCATAATCCTTTTGGGGAAGCCGTGGCTGTTTAAGGTGGTATGGCGTCCAGATGGGTCCTAAGTCACAACCCCTCCAGCAACAGCCAGGGTGGAGAACCTTTTCTGAGGGCCTCATGGCAGAAGTGGGCATGGTCAAAGTGGGCATAGCCAACACACATACCTACATGCTCAACCCAGATATAGAGTGGATACTGGCAGAAGAGGAGGAGTGCAGGGGGAGCGCACCGCCCCCAGCAGCGCGATCCCAGTGGGGCGCCATTGCGGCTCCCCCTCCGCACTAGGCACCATGCCCCTGCAAGCAGCATGCCCCGCCCCCAAGACGCGCACCACACCTCTGCGGGCAGCGCACCCTGCCCCCGCCTGCTCTCCGCCGCCCCCCAGTGCCAGAGCATGAAGCTCCGCTACTGAGTGAACATGCCAAAACTGGAGGTGTTTCCTAGCAACCAGTCAGAACGGCATAGCCCTTGCTGAGGCAACTAGTGCTCTGATTGGCTGTGTAGTCCTGAGGAAATTTTCCCCTGTATGCTTGCTTGTTGCATCTTTCCCTGCTATGAACAAGTCCTGACCTAAGGAAGAAAAGCAAAACCTCATGGTTTGTTTCTCAAGTTATGCGCTGTTCTTGTTCATTTTGCTGAGCAAAGTATTATCAGTTTCTTTTCTCTCTGGACCGCATCCATGCTATCAAAGCGACCTCTCTAATGACAAGCCTGCTTAAGTGACCATTTCACCCTTATCCTCTGTGGACCTTCAGTTACAGGGCTAAGATTTTACTCATGTAAAAACACGCTGATTCCTGGACCGTCCGTGGGCCGGATTTAGAAGGCGATTGGGCCTTAGTTTGCCTACCCATGGCTCAGTCCAAAGGTGACTGGTGCTGAAACAACATCCAGATCCTGCCTCCAGCTTAAGCTTTGAATGGAGCTGTCCAGGGCGCTTGGACCTCTTTCCTGGCTGGAACCAAGACCAAAGTTGTCTAACTGGTGGCCTTCCAGGTGCTCTTGTACGCCCCACTCCCATCAGCATCGCCAATGGTCAGGGATGATGGGAGTTGTAGTTCATCAGTCTATGGAGGGCCACAGGTGTGGCTGCTGCTCAGGTGTGCACCTCTTGGGAAAAGGTACATGCACAATCTGCAATAAGTGATCCAGAGCCCATCCAAATACTGAAGGGATTTGAGGAGGCGGGTGTCTCAGGGCGCCCCATTATCACCCGGAGCCAATGCTTGGCTGGCTTGAGCTTCTGCGCTGGCGCTGAGCACCCAGACCGTCTGGAGCCAAGTCAACCTGCTTTATCAGCTGGGATCTCATGTTAGCCTAAAACTCCACGCTCTCTACCTGAAGCTGTCGCAGACATTAGTTTGTTCTGCAGCTTACTAAGCAGGTTGGTGGCGGTTTGCTTCAGGTGCGCGACGGATTCTGGCTGCAGCTACTCCTCAAACATTGTTTTCCTTGGCAAAGCTGCCAAATTGCTTCACCTGCTGTTTCCAGCTATGTTTACCTCCGTTTTCTTTCGATAATCACTTTCTTTTCTTTTAAGGGATTAGCCTTGCACCAGGAGGGAGGGGAGGGGAAATAGGATCCGTTTGGTATTGTTTACATCGGCTGCGGCACGCAATGCGAGCCACGCTGACATTCGCTTGAGCTTGCCAAACTTGCATCGCCTGTCCTAGAGGTCTTGCACCGACTTGCAAGGCCCTGAGCACGGCTGATCTGAGCATTTGCGGGAAAGGTTTCTCTTTTGCTTGGAGGAAAGAGGAAGGAAGGAATAGGGGGACGTGACAGGTCTGTAAAACTGGGTGGATAAAGAGAACATTTTCTTCCCAGGAAATTGAACATGGGATCTTCTGCATGCAGAACAGATGGTTTGCAACCAAACTATGGCCCTTTCCGTCTGCTGAGGGTTGGACCAGATGAGCGAGGTGTGATTTGCTCTATGCATGGAAAGACATTAACTAAAGCAGTTGTCCTTTTTGTTTGCGGATATATTTGAAACACACCATTGCTATAATTGTGCAATGCACAACATTGGTTGGTACCTTGTTGCAGACTGCAATGGTGCAGTTCCTCCTGGAGCAACAACATTGCACCACAGTGATCCTATATTATTTTTATTTCCCTGCTTGCAATCAAAAGAATTCACAGGGCAGTTGTTATGGAGAATAAATCCTACAAGGAAAGGTTGCAGGAACAGAGCATGTTTAACTAGGAGAAGAGCTTTTAAATCAAAGGTGGGGAACCTTTGGCCTTCCTTTTTTTTATAATAATATTTATTACTTTTCCAACAATTTAAGCACACAAAAAAATAAAAAGAAAAAAGAACAATACAATACAATACAAAAACACTACATAACACATTAAACTAACAGAACAAAACAAAAACAGTTTAAAAGACATCAAACAATGTCAATATCTTATCTTTCATTCACTTATTTCCATGACCTCCTTGCACCTCCTTTTTTGTATTCCACTTCTGTTAATTGTTTCAGCAGTTCCTTTCCATCTTCCTCTGTTTTCTATCCTATAATTATCTTAACACAATCTAACCTTATTTTTTCCTTTAATACTCTATTAATCTATTTATACTTAATTCCTTATAACATTTCTACTAAAGCCATATAACTTCATTCCAACATTTTTCTAACATTCATTAATTTTACAGTATTTCTGTAAATAGTCTTTAAACTTTTTCCAATCTTCTTCCACCAACTCTTCTCCCTGGTCTCGGATTCTGCCAGTCATTTCCGCCAGTTCCATATAGTCCATCAACTTCATCTGCCATTGAACCTTTGGCCTTCCAGACATTGCTGAACTATAACTCCCAACATCCCCAGCCAGCATGAGCAATGGCCAGGGGTTATGAGAGCGGTAGTTCCTCACACCTGCTTTAAACATCTCAAGGGATGTAGAAGAGGGCAAAGACTTGTTGTCCGCTTCCCCAGAAGGCAGGATGAGATCGAATGGGTTTACATTACAGGAGAGTAGATTTGGGTCAAATATATTTTGTACAG